CAAATAAATGAAAACTAAGAAGTCTTCCTTAAAGTGATAAAAGAAATCCTGATCATCAGTAATTGCTGGCTCTCCAAGCCAGAGAACACAGATGTGCACACACACACATGCGCACACTCACACACACCTGCACACACACAAACCACAAGCTCGAGGGCCAGCTCAATACTTACTGAAGCCAAGATGGGCTCGTGAGAATTGAACTCACAGAAAACCTGAGTCATTACCACCAATTTCTAGTAAGCAAAAACTGTCAGTGCCCATGGCTCTTCAAGGACCTGCCTTCAAGTTGTCCATCTTTAAGAACCAGAGAATAGGTTTGATTCTGCAAGACTATAGACTATTTAATAAAGTCCTTAGCTGGTGCCATGAAGTATCCTGGCACACAGGTCATGGAATCAGCCAGACTAGAGTATAACACCCTGCTGGGTGACCTTGGTGAGTCACTTAAACCTGGTATTGACATATATGGGTGGTAACACCCACTTTGTAAGACTATTTTGAGATTAAATGAGATATTGTCTGTAAAGCCTTTTGCACAGTACTTGGCATATAGTAAATGTTCATAAAATAAGAAAAACATATAAATAAGAATGTAGGTAAGTGGAAATAAATGAATGAAGCCATTGACTAGGCAAGACCGAATTTCAAAGAAGTTCAGAAAAGATTTCACTTACACTGCTAATCTCTAATTCCACCAGGAAAACAGCTGGGAAGATTAAATAGGATGGACACACTTTCTAAATATACTTATTTGCAGTTTTTATTTTGAAGAAGCAGAAGTAGCAGCTGCCATCACCCCCACAACAAGCCGGGCAGTTGACAAGTATTGGTGGAGCCTGCAGAAGGCTCCTGTCAGGGGAACAGTGACTCTCCAAGCCAGTTTCATGGGGGAAATCAGGACAACAGATTTTCTTATGCCATTTTCTCATTCATTCTGGTTTCTGCTTGGCTAGAAAGAGTACATAAGCTGTTTGTCTCAGATGAATGCTCCACTAGATAAAACACCAAAAGGGGTTTCGGGAAACATAATAAATTAAGAATTGCCGTAGTCAGTTAGACCAACTGTCTGACAATAGTACCAAGAGGCATTTTGTAGGAAATAGTTGTAACTGCCTTCATAATCAAGGCCTCACAAGCTCAGAAGCAACTCCTAAATGTCCTTAAGTTCCTATTAAGATACCATCAACCATGATTTTACTTAAACTCTCCTTAAATTCTTTTATATTAGCAATTTCAGCTAATACTGTTTGGGGCAATGAGTTTATTTATTTAACAAACTTTTATTTTTATGTTTTGTTCCTCTTGACTGCAACCGAGGCTGACTGTATAACTCGAAGCAAGTCTCCCAAGTTGGCTCTGCCTTAATATCTCCATCTATAAAATGAAAAGATAGCAGCTCCTCAATAAGGTCACAAATAAAAGGAAGAGATTCCTGGAGCTAAATTTTTCTCTGCCTTGGGCTCTACAAAGAAAGAGGCTTTAATCTGAACATTTGAGTTCCATTTTCTGTGCTAATTCATACAAATCCCACAAGAATAAAACAATGGCATAATGGAAGAGATAAATGCAGGATGAAAGATGAATAGCTTAAGTCTTAAGATCAGGTTGAATTGTAGGCCATTGAAGTAGCAAAAATGGGCGTCCTCATCCACAAGCAAAAGGTATTAGAACCAGATTGCTCACTTGGATTAAAATACTGCACAATCTATGTGATTTTTACCAAATGGTCACTTATAAATAAAAGCGTTTAGTGAGAGTAAAATAAAAACAGCATTTTTTTTCCTTTTGAGTTAGAGAAACCCTAAAAATAAGTAGTGTTGTATTATCCAAGTAGGAAAAATTAATAACAGGTTGTGTATATATCTGAACCACCCAGATGACATTGGAATTTAACAGGAAGTTTTTATTGTTATATATCAAATTAGTTCTAGAGATGGGTTACTTTAATCACTGTTTTATATCAGATAAGAGTGATAATTACAGTGAAGATTTGAAGAGGAGATTTGATCTTTTTTATTCAGGAGGATCTATGGAAAGCACAATTATGAAGAAGTTATATGCTAGCCAGGACAGAATGAGAAACTAAATGACATAATGGTCTCTTTCTTTCTCCCTTACTAAAAGTAAAGGAGATTTTTAATAAAGTAACTCCCAGAAAGCCATAATGAGTCCAGTATGAAACATTTGTATGTAATTAAGTCATCTTAGTTCCTTTTGTATTGAATTTTAGAATGTATTCAGAAAATAATAATTAAAAGTAAATATCCTCTAAATAATTTATTACAATCTTATAAGGCTCACATTTGTTGACTGTGTAAAGAGGCAAACTTCTGCTGCAAGTAGAAATACATTATAGCTAAGGTAGGTTCTATTTGTTCTATTTGTTACAATGAAAAATGTTTTTAATTAAGTGATATTAATATGAATACAAACAATTCTTTGGGGATGATTTCTCCTGTAAAGAGGTTTTAAATATTAAATGAAGGAAAATGCAAGTGACCTTAGTCTGTCCATCTTAAAGATGAAAGTTCTATGACCTCGTAGCAAAGGAATACAGTGCAGATTAATTAGCTAATTGGATCATTGTCATATCCAGAGTTATGGAAGACAAAGTACGCCTATGGACCTGGCCCAAGCCAAGCTTTTTTCCTGTTTTTTTTTTTTTTAATTTTAGATTTCTCTCTTTCTCTCTCTCCTTTTTTTCTTTCCCTACTTCATTAAAGTATAATTGACAAATAAAAATTGTATGTATTCAAGGCATACAACACTATGTTTTGATATATGTTTACATTGCATCACAATCAAACTAATTAACATATCCATCACCTCACACATGTATTGTGTTTTTGTAGTGAGAATGTCTAAGATCTACTCCCTTAGCAGTTTTCAATACACACAGTGCATTATTATTAACTGCAGTCACCATGCTGTACGTGAGTCTCCAGAAATTTTTCACCCTTTTTACTGCTGAATCTTTGCACCCTTTGACTAACATCTTCCTATTTCTGCCCACCCCCACAGCCCCTGGCAACAGCCATTCTATTCTCTGCTTCTGTGAGGTCGATTTTTTTTAGATATCACACAGGAGTGAGATCATGCAGTGTTTGTCTTTCTGTGACTGGCTTGTTACATGTAACATCATGTTCTCCAGCTTCATTCACATTGTTGCAAATACAGAATTTTCTTCTTTTTAAGGCTTAATCGTATTCCAGTTTGTACAGATATCACATTTTCCTTATTCATTCGTCCACTGATGGACACTTAGAGTGATCGTATATCTTGGCTATTGTGAATCGTGCTGCAACAAACACTGGAGTGGGGGTACCTCTTCAACATACTGATGCCGTTTCCTTCCAGTATGGACCCAGCAGAGGAATTGCTAGATCATACAGCAGTTCTATTTTTAATTTTTTTGCAAGCTCCATACTGTTTCCTATAGCAGCTGCACCTTTTACATCCCCACCAACAGGGTACAGGGGCTCCCTTTCCTCCACAACCTCATCAACATTCATCTCTTGTCTTTTTTCACAACATGCCTGTTAGAATGGCTGTGATCAAAAACTTAAGCCAGGCTTTTTAACTGAAATACCAAGACATTCGAGTCAACACAAGAGACTGTCACCAGATCGAGGTGAACAAATGAATTAATCATGATGAAAGGTGTGTGTTGGGGTCTGGCAAGTCACTGTTGTTGTGGCCTTGTCAAATCCCTTAACCCCTTTGGGCCTCAGTATTCTAATCAATGAAATGTGGGGGCTTGACTTTTAAAGGTATTTCTAGCATGAAAATTCTATGATGCACAATTTCTAATAACTAAAAGAAGCAAACAAATTAGTCTGCATCAGAGAAAGGTGTTGACTAGTTGTAGAGACTGGAACCAAATCATGAGGTACACCAGAAGGTCTCAGGCAGCAGTCCCCAACTTTTTGGCACCAGGAATCAATTTCATGGAAGACAATTTTTCCACAGGAAAGGGGTAAAGGGGGATAGTGGATTTGAGATGATTCAAGTACATTACATTTATTGTGCATTTTTTTTCAACTCACTTGCCACTGTAAAGCCTGCCACCAGATGCAGCTTAACTGCCATTTACCACTCACTGATAAGGTTTTGATATGAGTCTGCAAGCAATTGATTTATTATGGTCTCTGTGCAGTCAACCCTCTCTGCTAATGTTTATCTGTATTTGCAGCCACTCCCCAGTACTAGCATCACCACCTCAGCTCCACCTCAGATCATCAGGCATTAGATTCTCATAAGAAGCACACAACCTAGATCCATCACATGTGCAGATCACAAGAAGGTTCACACTCCTATTAGAATCTAATGCCACTGCTAATCTGACAGGAGGCGGAGCTCAGGCAGTAATGTAAGTGATGGGGAGTGGCTGTAAATACAGACGAAGCTTCACTGGCTTACCCGCCACTCACTCCCTGCTGTGTTGCCCAGTTCCTAACAAGCCACTGATGAATACCAGTCCATGGCCCAGGGGTTGGGGACCCCTGGTCTAAAGAAAGGCCAAGTGTTCTAGAGTTTTCCCACCTTCATAAACTGCCTTCCCCAGGCCCTGGAAAATCCTAAGAGACAATTCCCTAGATCCTCCAGCAAACCAGGTCTCTACACGTAATTCCTTATCAATTCCTTCTTGACTTCCTTTTCATTCTGTTCCTGACATTAACTGAGTTGATTGCTTGGTTTAGAATGCTCATACTGCCTTCTCCTTTCTTCACTCACGCAAACAGCATGTTACTCTCATTCTTCCATTCATTGTTTATTCATTCATTCACTGGTCTAGCATTTATTGAGCACCTACTATGGGCAGCTGTCTTTACTAGGCCTTGATCTTCTTTGACTAAAATGCTGTGTAGCTGTGTATTGTGAAGCCAGTGTGTTGGTTTATACTGGTCAGCAGCTGCATCTCTGGGGTTAGACTGAAGGCCTTCAAATGCTAGCTTTCCTATTTGCTGTATAATCTTACGGAAATATCTTAACTTCTCTGTGTCTCAGTTTTCTCATTTGTAAAACGTGATTGATAGCAATAACTACTTTGAAGACTTCTTGGAGAGTCAAATAATTAAATCTGTGTTAAGTACCTGGGACAGCACTTGATACGGCACAATAAGTACCTGTTAAAGGTTAGTTCTTAGGATTATCTCCAAGGCATCTGAATCGGTGTGAGATCAGCAGCTCCAAGGCTGAGTTGCTGGTGGCATTTGACATAGTGCCTTCTATTTAAAGCATGATATTTCATGGCTGTGGAGTTGTTTGTCCACTTCAAATGGCCATTGGGGAATAGATTTGAGGAGCATTTGTCATTGACAAGGATTAGTGAAGCAGGCACAGTTGCTACCTCAGAGTGCTCGGGGCAATGACAGCCACTTTGTCCAAACCTGAGCAGTAGCAAAAGGATGCCAACAGCCCAAAGAAAAGAATCAGACCGGGAACTATTGCCAGGCAATTCCAGGATGACCTGAGGATGTGCTCTAGCCACCCTTGATGAAGGTACAGAAGTCTGTTGGCATATTTATTGTAATGGAAGCACTTTCTCTGCTTGCAGATTGACAGTAATGGTAGTAGTGTTAATAATTGTCATAATAACAGTACAGTAGTAGCAACAGCAGCAGCAATGGTAGCAGAGGTAGTCAACGGCAATAGTGAGAGTAATTGTGATAGTGGTAGTAATCATGGCAGTGGCGATAGTAACAGCGGCGCTGGTAGCAGCAGGAGTAGTTCCAGAGTGGCTGCAGTAGAGTAACAGCTACACTTCTATAGCACCATTCAAAGCACTCTGCATTTATTAACTCCATTCACATAACCACCCTATGAAGTAGAGAGCATTACATTTTACAATGGCACTCGTCATATTTTGAATGATTTCAGTTCTGATACCATATTTGGTTATGCTGGTTGGGGCAGCATCTCATTAAGATTTTGGTCTTCTCATCTTACATGCTCCTGATCCCACTCACCCAAAATCCTTCTCACTTATGGCAGCTAAAGTAGCCCCACAGCCTCTCCATCCTTGTTGTTTCTGGCAGGAAAGACACTCATCGTGCAGTATGAAATTGTGTGCTTTCTTTTAAGGGAAGTGTCACACTTGGCCAGAAAGAGTGGGGGAAAGTGCTGTGCACTGAAGGTGGGTACTTTATAAAGCGGCTGGCTGGCATGGATAGAAGAGAAAGATGGAAAGGAGACAGCATCCCTCATCTCTGTCATGGTGGGGACGGAGTCAATATACACCCCTAGGGCCACAGGAGGCCTGTCTCAACTTTCATCATTGGCTCATGTCCCTGCTTTCACACATGACTTGTTCTTTCCCATCAATGAATTAAATATGTAGAAAAACCATTTCAAGTCGTAGTCAAGAGTCATCTATATTTGTGTGCAAATGCCAGCTCCACCACTAATCACATGGCTCTCTCAGGCTCAATTTCCTCCTCTGTAAAATGAAGATAATTGTCTCATAGAATTGTTTTAGAAAATGAGAGGGAAGGTACATCCGCACCCCAACCCAGCACTTGGCACACATAAGCCTTAATAACTATTACCCATTACTATTACTGTTGCTACTGCCATTGTATTTTTCCTTCAAACCACTAAACCCATAACTGTTATTAATGCATATCCAAATAGTTCTTGAAAAATATCCTCTAAAATTGTGTTACCCAAATAACTCAAAAAATTGAAATTTTAGATTTGCAGGGCAGCCCCTTACTCCTCGAAGATGCTGTATTAGTTTCCTGTGGCTGCTATAACAAATTACCACAAACTTAGTGGATTAAAACAGCACAAAGTTCTGATCCTGCAGTCACAGTCAAAAGTCTAAGACGGGCTGTCAGGTGACTCTAGAGAAGAAGATGCAATCTTACCCTTTCCAACTTTAGATGAAGAAGATGTTCCATTGCCCTTCCCACATTCCTTGGCTCATGGTCCCATGTCTTTGCAATCCTTGCCCATCATCACATCTCATTCTCTAACTCTCATATTTCTCTCTCTCCCTTACAAAAAAAGATCTTTTTGACCACATTGGGCCCACCCAAATAGCCCAGGAGAATTTTCCCCTCTCAAAATTCTTATATATCTGCAAAATCCTTTCCACCGTATTAGATAACATACCCACGGTTTCCACAATTTAGGATGTGAATGTCTTTGGAGGACAGTTATTCTACCTACCACAGAATCCATGAAGAAATAGCCATAGAAAAGACTGGGTTGTCTCCATAGAGTCCCGCGTTTCTTACTCGGTGTTTGTACAGTCGTTGCTGATCTTCCAGCCTCCCCTGATTCTCTCTGACTCCTGACATCTCTGAGGGTCAGTGTCCACATGTGTCACACAGTAATGGCCATACTGCATCTGAAGAGTTGGGTGGGGAATAACCAGTGTACTTAAGTCATAAAATGTTCAGCAAATTTTAGAATAAAATGCCACATAAAAATGAACAAATAATAATTCAACTGTCTCACGAGTCAATTAATAGACTCAAACTGCTCTAAGATCTTTGGATAAAAGGCATTCTTCAGATGCCAAGTGTACGTTGGTGTTTTGCCTTTGTGCTCACTTCCAGCCATCTATCAAAAGCACACTTTAGCTCATTTTTCCTTTTTCAGATAAACTATCTAATTTTCTGCCCCTGTGGCTTTCCTGAATATCTCCTCCCCCAAGCCTTCCAGTGGGAGAAATGTAACTCATTTTCTTCTCTGGGTTTTCTGTGGGTGGGTAGATATGGCCTCTTTGACTAGTCTTTTTCTTTCACTTTGTTCTCAAGCTACAGCTTTTGCTGCCTCTGACTTCGTTTTTAGCTGTGTAGCTGTGAGTTTGCCACCTCTCCTTTGAGCATCATCAAGGGCTGCTGTGGCCTGATATGTAGGTTTCTTTCTAATTTCAGTCTCAGGGGGAATGAAGTCGATATGGTTTTTCACCTGCTGAGTTAGGAGTTTGCCCTTATACACGCACCATAATATTTTATTCTAGTTGCAGGGAGCATGCAGCATTTATATTTTCTTGGACTCCCACATGAAATCAGAAGCAGCTACTGTGTGTCCTTCGGAATCCCTCATGCATTGCCTTTGCTGCCTGTGGGTGGGCAGGAATAGACAGCCAAGCACTCTAAAGAAAGAAGGTGCAGATGACTCTGTCTTTTGAAGTTGACCTTCTCCCAAAAACCAAGACCTACAGAGAGGCAAACACTTATTGGCTTGAAAACAGGTGCATTTTGTTTTCTTAAACATCTAAAAAGACAGAACTGCATTTAGAATACAGCAATGCTTCCTTTATCTCCCTATCAGAAAAAAACAGTTGTGTGCATATATTAGTCATGCTTCTGATATTATGGAGGGAGTTTAATATAGGAAAATGGTGACAAAGGTTTTGGAAACGTAGGCTAAGTGGAAGATGGCATTACCTAGATATCAGCAACCGTAGGATGCTACTGCTGTTGTCCCATAGCTGTAGGAGTAAAAAGGTAAATGTGTGATGGAGAGGAAGGCAGCAAACCACATTGCCATGTATGTACCTATGCAACAATATTGCATGTTCTTTACATGTACCCCAAAACCTAAAACGCAATGAAATACATATATTAAAAAGAAGATAAATCTGGAGTACTCCAGAGCCGGCAAGTACACATTTGCTACTGCTGTTGGAACAGAGCTATGCTATCATATTTGTTATCTATTGCTATTGAAACAAATAATCTCAAAACTGGCTTAAAATAAAACATGCTATCTCAGTTTCTATGCATCAGAAATCCAGGTGTGAGCCAGCTGGGTCCTTCCTCTGCTTCAGGATCCCTCATAAACTTCAATCAAGGTGTCAGTAAGGCTACACTCATCTGAAGGCTCAAATAGGGAAGGAAACACTTTCAAGCTCATGTAGTTGTTGGCAGGATTCAGCTCCTTGTAGGCTGTTGGACCTCAGTTCCTCAATGGCTATTGGACAGAGTCTGCCCTCAATTCCTTGCCATGTGGGTCTCACGAACATGGGAGTTTGCTTCCTCGGAGCACACAAACCAAAAGGCAAATAGCGACAGTCTGCCAGCAAGATATAAGTCACAATCATTTGCAACCTAGTCAGAGAGGTGGTATTCCTCGACATTGCCGTATTCTGTTGGTTGGCAGCAAGTTACTCAAGAAAAGGGGATTACACAAGGCCATGAATACCAAGAGGCAAGGATCAGAGGAGACCATCTCAGAAGCTACTGACCATACCTGCTGAGTAGGAACCCAGGAGACCAAACTCCCGCTGATGATGCTGGAGCCACCACCAATTCTCTTGGAGCCACAATGCCCCATGGTACTATCCACTGCTTCCACTGTCACACCCAGATAAATGGCCTTCCCTTTCTACCACTTTCCAGTCTCCCATAAGTGCTCGCTCCCACTGGCAAATGCTAACCGAAGCCCAGCAACCATGGGAGCTAGGAATACTCTTCTCATGTTTACAGTAGCTTGCAATTCAGAGGAGAGGAAATAAGGATGGGAAAAGGACTAACCATAGGCAATAGCTGGCCCCACAGGAAAGGGATGTTTCTACTCATTTCCACATCTCTCTATTAGACCCCTTCCATTCTGTTCATTTTAATCAACAGATGCACCAATGTTATCTGCTCCATATGTGAGGTCCCACTCGTCACCTCTTCACTGGAACACGCCCCCTCAACCCTGAGCTTGCTTTCTCAGACTGTCCTCCATGTTCCAATCTTTTCTGCCTCTTTTCCTTTTCATTTCCTTCAAAGCTTAGCTAGCCTGTTTCCTGCCCTTGATTCCTCAGGGCTCTTATCTTTGCCAAGTAGAGCTGGATGATAATGGGAAAGCTTTCAATTGATTCCATTCAACAAAGTCTCTTATATAGATGCTAGGTCTCAAACCTAATGCTAGATGCTAGAGTGCAAAAATGGAAAAGAAGCAATTCCTGCCCTTGAAGAGGATGCAGTTATGCCAGGGACACAGATGTCTATAATATCAAGTGATAAGTGCTACAATTCAGGGACATTCTGACAGATTGATTGACAAACCATACAGATTTTCCCTGAATTGGCTACATGTTATCTGCACTTTGGGTTCTTGCTGGGGAAAAAAATGCAACCTTGAACTCTCAGCTGTACAATCCTTATCAAACATACTTACAATAAATAATTTGTGGAGGTTCTAAAAGATAAGCAGCCCATCCATTTCTTAAGATATTCTACAATTTATTCTTCATGTATACAGATGCAAAATTCAGTTTAAAAAATCTGTGAAGAACTATAACAACATGACCCACAGCCTTGTTTTTACAGCCTTTAGTTTTCAAAGAAACCACTTTCACTCAGCTGTACTTTGGCATCTCATCATCTGTCTACATGGAGTAACATTTAAAAACTACTGAATGAACTTAGGTCTAAACCCAAGATAGGAATGTCGAGGATTTCCTCCCCTACATCACAGCCTGCTCACATTCTAAAGACTTCACAGAGAACCTCCTCTTAGAGCTCAGACTCAGAAAGAGTTTTCTCAGAACAGTTCATTTGTTTTCATTTTATGGATACACCAAAATTTTATAATTAGTTATGTTTCTATTTTTGCTTTATCTTCCAGAAACTTAGAACCAAATGTGCAGTCCTCTTCTAGAAACTGTGTGAGAGTAGGTGGCAATCATTTATTTTATTGCCCTTGTTTTCCCTTGACTCCAAATCCTCTGTCATTCTTTTGCAGGTATATTGGTAGGATACTCAAATTCTCTGTAGAATGAGAATTTTTATGTTAATTACAAGTGGATTTACTAATGATATATGGTGCTATTTCTTTTTGGCAGGAAGGATCAAGAAAATCAGAGAAAGATGTGATATTTGATCTAAACCTTGGAAAATGATATTTATCCAGTCTTAAAAGGTTTTTCCATAATATCAGCACTTAGAGGCATAAAAAATTCACATGAGTTCATGTGACCAGATATAAGGGAAGGAGGATATAAGAGTTTGTGTGTTGATTTTCCTGTCAATGCACTATTCATCCCAGTTAGAAGAGTACTTAACCTGTTAAAATGTGTCCTTACTTTAATGGGCACTTAAAGAGTTTTTTTAATAATTGCAGTTTCCACCAGAGAAAGAATCTTTTCTGATCAAGTAAACTTTTTTTCCGTTTATTCACATTATAAAGGCTTCCCAGTCTGCCATAGGTTGGCTATCCTAGAAACAGCCACCAAGCATGCCAATACCTGTCACAGTTGTCTTTCAGAGTGTGGATAGCCAGAACAAACCAGAGAGCCTGTCTCCCAAAGCCTGGTTTATAATCTGCTGCTGCTGCAAAACCATCTCCTGGCCTGACAAAGCCTGCAAAAAGGGGAATGGATGGGTGTGTAGGTAACAGTGCAAAATCTTTGGCGTGGCAGAGGCAGATACAGACTATTATTTGGTACCCACAAGATATTAAGCAATTCACTTCCCCCTCTCTCGTCTTCATTTTCCTCTTACAATTTGGATGTCTGAGAGCTGCTGTATTTAGTTGATCTCATTATTTTATAATCACATCAGCTCTTTTGACAGTCTGTGATATTCATAGTCATTGATTTTTTTTGGAATCTACAAAACATCTATATACTTCACCATAAACTCTCAGTGGCTATAGATGACTTTAAAAATGAGTAATTCACCACACTTCAGGCAGGAAATTAAGGCTTGTAATGTTGAGATATGAATAATTGTAGGTACCTTTCATCACTTTGATCTTTCTCTGATAAATATTACAATTATTCAGGCAGCTCAAAACATCATGTGAAAATGTCAGTAAATACACTAACAAATCTAGCTCTTAAGTGAGTCCCCACCAAGGTATCATGCAAACAGCCATTTGCTGGAATCATATGTGAAAAATATTAGGCTTTGAAGACTGGGGTGATTTCCAGTCTGTAAAGCGGCCTATTTGAGAAGAAAGAATCATCTCCAGGAAAGAATTAACCTATCCATGTTTTTTTTAAAAAAATTGTTAGTTAATTTCAAGGTTTTTCAGTGTTTCTTTTTATAAATACCAAAGGAGAAAATTTGGGTTAATTCCAATAGCCATTAGCTTTCATGGGGAGCTAGGACAGAATCCAAAATGAAAGAAAATGCCTTGTGGGGCCCACACAGAGCATTGGAAAGAAAATTTGCCTCTCACCCCAAGAGAGTCTGGTAGGGCCTGGGCAAGCATCCTCTGAGCAGAAGCAAAGCCCTGGCCTTGAAAGGCACCAGCATCAAAAGGGATTCGTAGGACTCCAAGTGTTCTGTGTACACCAGCAAGAAGCAGCAAGGCAGCATGGCTGTCCTTGAAAGAGAATGAAAATAAACCCTGTCATAAGCGTTCTATCCCTCAGATGCCTAAATACACAACACTCATTGATTCCACCTAAGACTCAGCCCTGACTTCCTCACCCACCACACAATCACCCCTCCAACTCCAATCACCATTACCTGTACCCGTGCCATTGCATTAAACATGCAACTATTTAGCTCCACATAAGCCTAACACTTCGTCTTTCTTCACAGATTTGCATGTGCAGGTTAGGTGTTCCCAGACTATCCTCCAATCCTGAGATTCATGGAACTTTCACTGAGCAGAGAGCCTTTGGCTAGGCCTTTTGCAACCGGGTTAGGCTGAGACCATGAGTACTTAGAACATGATCCAGTCATTTACTTTTTTTTTTAAACCAACCTTCAAAATTTGGTTTTAAAAGTCTAAATTTGGTCAGGAGCAGTGGCTCACATCTGTAATCCCAGCACTTTGGGAGGCTGAGAAAGGTGGATCACCTGAGGTCAGGAATTCAAGACCAGCCTGGGCAACATGGTGAAACCCGCCTCTACAAAAATACAAAAATTAGCTGGGCATGACGTGAGGTGCCTTTAATCCCAGCTACTAGGGAGGCTGAGGTGCGAGAATTGCTTGAACCTGGGAGGTGGAGGTTGCAGTGAGCCAAGATCACTCCACTGCACTCCAGCGTAAGTGACAGAGACTCCATCTCAAAAAAAAAAAAGTCTAAATTGCTTAACATATAATGAGCTTTACAGTCAATCAAATAAAATGCCAACAATTTTTAGAAAGTGAAATCTATAAAGAGACATTCACTGAAAAAAAAAAAAGTTTTGTTTTGTTTTGAGATGGGGTCTCACTCTGTTGCCCAAGCTGGAGTGCAAGGGTGACATCACAGCTCACTACAACCTCCATTTCCCAGGCTCAAGCAGTCCTTCCATCATCAGCCTCCTGAGCAGCTAGCACCACAGGCACACACCACCATGCCCGCTTAATTTTTTTATTTTTTTGTAGAGTTAGAGTCTCCCTATATTACCTAGGTTGGTCTCAAACTTCTAGTTTCCAGCAATCGTCTCGCTTCCCAAAGTGCTAGAATTACAAGAGTGAGCCACCACACCTGGCCTACAAGTGTTTTTGAAACATATAAAGAGATAAGGGGTATTCAAAGTCTCTCTTTTAATGAAAAAAAAATTAGAACAATAAAACATGTTTCTCCATATCAGATTGAGAAAGATTAGAAATGTTACATAGTAAGGCAGACTTTCATGAATTCTTGGTGGAAGTATAAATTGTTGTAATTCCACTGTAGGACAATTAACTAATATTGAAATTTTAATCCATTTATACTTTGACCCTTCAATTTCACATGAAGGAATTTATCCTTCAAAAATATGCTACATGTAAGCAAAAATAGGTTGCTAGGATATTTATTGCAACATTATCATAATAAAAAAATACACCATAAATGACAACCAGTATTGGAGATCTCTAAATGTCCAAGATTCTGCAGTTATTAAAAGGGATGAGGTATATCTCTATGAAAAGATGTCCAGGACAGGTGGTTAGCTGAAGAAGAGGCTTGACCGTGTCATGGGCAACATCCTGTTATTTGCTCTCATCACAAAGTAAGCACCTCCAGTGCCCAGAACTCTTCAAACAATCGAAGAAACCCACCTTCAGACAGCAGGTCGAGGCAATATAGCTAATATCTGGATATGATAAGGATTAAAGGGAAAATAAAACTCCTCAGGCAAGTATCTGTCTCTTGGTATTCTCAAATTTTCATCTCATGGTGGTGAAAACATACCAAGATATAATCTTGCTCAGAAAAAAGGGGGGCTGCCTATGTTTGCCAGGCCCTAGAATAATGCCTTGTATTTATAATAAAAAATAAAGCTCAGCTCCAATTAATGAAATAAAAACAAAAGCCTTTCTTATTAATTGGTTGCTATAAACACATAACAACAAAACACTAATTACCAACAACTCTTCAATAATTTTAAGTAAAGATACAATTTGAAACGACCAGCTCTCTTTTTACAAAACTCCAACTGTCTTCTCTCACTGCTTAATATAATCTTCCCACACAACCCCACTCCTTCCCTGCCTTAAGAAAAAAAATTAACGTTCCTTCACTAAAATTCAGGTATCAGATAGCTTGTCCACAGTTCCCTGGATGCTAGCTTAGGGCAGCAGCTATCAGAGTTCATTGATTTGCTGCTAGCAAATTGGAAGATTTAATGGTGTGACTTCCGCATGTTGCTAGTTGATCAGGTCTCACTGGGGTCTCTCCAAATGGGAAAAGAATTGCTTCCTGCTAATCTCAGGCAGCAGCACTGCGTCCACATCCATTTCCACACTGATCTTAAACAGAAAGAAGACAGAGAAAGATTATGTTTCATTCTCCCACTGCGTCTACATAAAACCCAATTGTCGCCCCTTTCTGATCAGCAAGATGTTACCTTGGCAACTACTTTGTACAGCTCTTATTCGTATCTCTTTTAAAGCTCATCATTTGTATAAAAGTTATTTTGCTTCCTAATGAGTAAGAGGAGACATTAGGCAGCCTGACTGCTTCCCTGGTACTTCCAGACAAAGGTTGTAAAACTGACAGCCCAGGGGCCAAATTAAACACTCAGGCATGTTCGACCCACACAAAATTTTTGGTTTTGTTTATTGGATTTTTTTTAATGTGAGTTAACATTTACAAAGCAGAAGATCTAAAATGAAAATGCAGATTTGCAGTTCTCTTTAATAATGTTTAGACCTGAAGTCTCTGGGCCCACATTCTTCATAAGCAGCTGTTGCTTCATACTGGTCGCTGCCCTCCACTCGGCCCAATTCATTGGATTAGATTACCTGGGTGGCATCTGGGTTGTGACCTCTGTTCTAGGTGGGATATAAAGTGCTTATATTTAGAACTGAACAAAAGTTGTTTTTAAGCTATCTGAAGCTTTCAAGATGTTTTTGTTTCTCAAAATTCAGAATTTCGAATTCACCAAATGTCTTCCCACATGCACAAGATTTTTCAACATTATCCGTAATCATCAGCACCATTGCTAATGAAGCTCAGAAACTTAAGACACTTTGAGAGTTTAACCAAGAAAAGGCAAAGCTGAGGAGAGAAACAACCCATGTCTACTGATCAGTTAGAGCAGCGAGGAAGCTGGTAGGGAAGGCAAAAGGCAGCGGTCCTCAAACCTGAGTGTGCATTAGGACCACCTGGAGGGCTTGTCGGAAACACAGATCTCTGAATCTGAGATTCCGATTCAGTACGTCAAGAGTGGGGCCTGAGAATTTACATGTCTAATAAGTCTCCAGTGAGGCTGATGTTCCTGGTCTGGAAACCACACTTAAGAGAATCACTGAGATCTTTTTATATCAAATATATCTGTAAATGCACACTGACTGATATTGTTTGGATATCTGTCCTTGCCCAAATCTCATGTTGAATTGTAATCCCCAGTGCTAGCGGTCGGGCCTGGTGGGAGGTCCGGCCATGGGGGTGGAACCGTCACGGCTTAGTGCTGTCCACTCAATAGTGAGTGAGTTCTCAAGAGATCTGGTTGTGTCAAAGTGTGTGGCATCTCCCCCTGCCAATCTCTCTTTCTTTCTGGCTTGCTCCTGCTTTCTCTATGTGAAGTGCCTACTCCTGCTTCACCTTTTGCCATAAGTAAAATCTTCCTGAGGCCTCCGCAGAAGCAGATGCCAGTGTTATGCTTCCTGTACAGCCTACAGAACCATGAGCCAATTCAATCTCTTTTCTTAAAAATTACCCAGTCTCGGGTATTTCTTTAGGGCAATGCAAAAACAGCCTAATACAGTGGCCAAACACAATAGAAGTTTATTTCCCTTTCATGAAATAGTCCAGTCTGGGCATGATGGCTCACTGTAATCCTAGCACCGTTGGGAAGCCTAGTCAGAAGGATCACTTGAGCCCAGGAGTACGAGGTTGCAGTAAGCTATAGTCACTCCACTGCATTCCAACCCTGGATGACAGAGCAAGATTCTGTCTCTTAAAAAAAAAAAAAAAATCAAAGCAAGTTTTCTCTCAATCGGTGATTCAGGAACCCAAGCTTCCTTGAGATTATCCCCCTACTAACCACTAGGAGGAGGATATAGGGATGAAAGTGGGAAAGGTACCAGGAAAGTGCGCTAATTTTTAAAACGCTTGGCATAGAAGTAACATACATTACTTTCACTCACATTTCATTGGTGAGAACAAGTCACATGACCATATCTAGATGCAGAGTGTTGAAAAATATAATCACTAAATGAGCAGCCCTCCCAGAAGCAATTCTGTAGAAAACAAAAGGGAGAACTCACATTTTTTTTTTTTTTTTTTTTTTTGGGGAAAACTAGCCAATTCCACCTAAGCAGCTATGAACGTGCCTCACTCTTGCCTCCACTGATTTTCTTCCCCATTCCCAGAAGGCCCTTCTCTCTTCTCATTGCCCATCCACATCTCATTACCAGCCTGGTTATTCACCTCTACCAGAATTCCCAGTAAAAAATTTCCAGTCTTTTATGTTGGGGCGGAGCTAAAATAACTTTCCTCAAGAGTTTGTTGTTTCCTTGAGGATATTTTTAATGATCATCATGACGTTAAAGAACAAGAGTTGCTCTTCTGCAGTTAATCAAAAGGAAAAAATAAACTGACTGCATTTTTAAAGTTTGATTAAACACTTACTTAAGTATCCCATCAGATTTGTTTGCCAAAAATTAACAAATAAATAGACAAAGTAAATAGGTAATAAAAGGTGCCTGCAATAATTAACATCTCAACATCAAAACCTAAGTATCCTCCTGAGATGAATTAATACTTTCTAAAATCATCTCTAGCTCCTGGGATCTAAAGTGAGTTATTGAGGTGATCTGTGTGGTCTAAAATCTATTAAAACTAACAATGTGAAAATAATATAAAGAATGACCCATTTACCATTGCAAGCAGTAGGAAACTGACCCAAACAAGCTTAAGCCCAAAGGGAACTTATTGTTTCACAGAAGATGAAAAGTCCAGGGGTAGAATAACTTTCAGATGTGGCTGAATCCTGAGTTCAACCAATGTCATCAGGACCATTTTTCTACATCTCTTGGCTTTGTGTCATAATGGGATGGCTGCAATGGTTCTAATACCTACACCCTCCTTTAGGTCCTGCAGATAAAATTAAGAGTTCCTCAATGAGAAAAACATCATTGTGATTCATTAGATCTGACTGACTATGAGTTGACTATGACTTATCTCAGTTCTCTAGAGGGAATTGAGATAAGGATACTGTTGGGGTTTGAGGAGGCTCAATGTCCCATTCTAGTTTGGAACCAGTTGAGAGAAAGATCCAGGAGCCAAGTAGAGAAGCATTAAAATGTCAGCCTTACTGATGGCTTTAGGTCTGCTAACCAAATGAGCTTGCTAATTCCCAAATTAGATGGACCTGCCTGATCACAGATATGCAGCCTCCCATGGGGGGCCTGCTCCTGTCATGTACGGCATTGAGGAGCATAGAAAGCTGTCTGCACACTGGTAGGTGACTAAGAGAAAATAGAAAGGGGCTGAGAATCACATGCTCAGCCACTGTACCCAAACTCACTCATCAGCTAGCTCACTCTTCTTCCTTTGAGGGAAAGGAAAAGGGGGATACAGGGAACCAAGGAGCTAGGAGTGTTATTCTGAAAAAGTCCATCCATAGAAAAACAGAAGAATAGGGAATGTCTCCTCCCAGCCTGTAACAGAACAGTAAATGATAATAACAGATGTCAACTACAAGTAGAAAATGAGCCTTACCTTTTAAATACACAGAGTAAAACATATGCATCCAAATGGTTAGCATGCTCAACATTTTTAGTTATGAAAAGATATTTCTCTCACCTGCCATGGAGATCCCATAATATCCTTGAGATACTGCAATTCACAGTGGTTGCCATTATCTGATTTATCATTTTCCTACAGAGGTAAGATAAACAAGTGTCTTAGCCAGCTGCTATAACAAAGTAATGTAGACTGGGTGGCTTACAAACAACAGAAATTTCCCACCATTCTGGAGGCTGAAAGTCAGAGATCAGGGCGCCAGCATGGTGAGGTGCTGGCAAAGACTCTCTTCCAGGTCGCAAACTGCCAATTTTGTGTTGTATCCTCCCAAGGTGGCAAGCAGAGGAGCTAGGTCTCCTGCCTCTTTGTATAAGGCACTAGTTCCATTCATGAGGGTTCTTTCCTCATCACCTACTTACCTCCCAAAGGCCTCACCTCCAATCCACCACATTAGGGATTACATTTCAACATATAAATTTGAGAGGGACAAAAACATCCAGTGCATAACACCAAGTATAAAAATGGACTTAATTTATGTTTCTGCCCTAGGATGAAGTAGGAATGAGTAACCAGAAGAATACAGTTGACAGTTTAGGAAAGAGATTCAAACAAAATAAGTAGGAAATTCATACTGATCTGGATCCGACTCTAGAATGTAAGCTCCATGAGAAAAGGCTCCTTGTCTGCACCATTGTATTTCTCCCCAGTGCCTAGAATCGGGCCTCTGGCATATAGTAGAAGTTCAATAAAATTTGCAGAATGAGTTAGGAGGGGAAGTCTTGAAATCAGAAAAAAAAAATCTTTGTGGGGTTTAGTGGTCACAAAAGAACAGCGTCACTTGGGATTGAAGACAATAATCTGACCCTAACTAAAATGATCCTACTTCAGGTTGGTGAAAGAGAATCTAGTGGATCTAGAAGAGCTCAAGAATTAGGGGAAGCTAGGCACCGTGGCTCAGGCCTGTAATCCTAACACTTTGGGAGGCTAGCAAGGCTCCCCACTTTGGGAGGTGGGAGGATAGCTTGAGCCCAAGAGTTTGAGACTAGCCTGGGCAACATAGGGAGGCCTCACCTCTACAAAAAAATTAAAATTTTAGAAAAACAGGAAACCAAAAAATATCTGAAATGGCAAGAATCTTTGAGGTAATTTAATGTAGTGATTCCCAACAAAAAACAGCTATACGTTAGAAACACCTGGGGAGTTTTTTTTTATTCTCATAGGCAGACCCCACTTCCTAAGATTCTGACCGAGACACCTGTAAGCTGCAATGGGAGGAATAACAGAGAAGAGGGGGCAGCCTGGAGTCAGGGCCGGGTCTAATTCACTTTGTCCCCTAGGGCGTCTAACACAGACCACGTTTTCTGACTAGAACCAAGTAAAAAACAGAGAACTACATTCTCAGATGGCTATCACAGGAGAACCCACAACCTGGTCACTTGGGTGTCCCTGGAAGCCCTCTTGGGAGAGGGGTGGAGGAGTGACACCTTCTAGTTAGACCCAACCTATTTTATCCCCATGTTCTCCAAGAGTGTATCAGATGACTGAGTCTGTCCATTTCAAACAAGACTTCCTCAAACATTCTACAAACCATCACCCAACGAAGATGGTGATAATTTTGATTTTGAAATTTCAATGGGACCCAACAGGCCCCCGCAGCAACTGAGGGACTGTAGGACGTGCTGCGTGATGTTCACCGGCGGTGCATTCAGCACCTTCCCTTGGCAGAGGCCGAAACCTCTCCCACTCCGCGCCGCGGCCGGGTGGACGGATCCCGCCCAGGGCGCTTCTAACTGGACCTCCCAGCGTCGCGGCGCGCAGAGCAGCCGGGGACGTCCCGGCAATCGGCCTCCCAGACAGAAGGAGCCCTGCACGTCTCAGCAGCTCACTCGCCCGGGCGTGACGGGCCCGGGCAAAGGCCTCCGGAATGGGTCTTTCGGAGCTCCCCTTAGGAGGGGACGCCGCGGACTAACAGACGCCGCGGTCCGGCCGGTGCTGATGCGGCTGCGCGGCTGACGGTTTCTTTAGCGCGGTGTCAGCTTCGGGTCCCTACTGGCCTCCCCTCAGGCCGCCCGAATGCAGGATCACAGCCCGGCCTGCCCCCGCGCCTCTCCGCCCGAGGTGCTTCTTCCAAGCCGCCGCTTGCACAGTCCCGGGCCGGGCGCGGTGGCTCATGCCTGCAATCCCAGCACTTTGAGAGGCCGAGGCGGGCGGATCACGAGGTCAGGTGATCGAGACCATCCTGGCTAACAGTGAAACCCCGTCTCTACTAAAATACAAAAACTTAGCCGGGTGTGGTGGCATGCTCCCGTAGTCCCAGCTACGCGGGAGACCGAGGCAAGAGAATCGCTTGAATCGGGGAGACGGAGGTTGCAGTGAGCCGAGATCTCGCCCACTCCAGCCTGGCAACAGAAGGAGACTCAGTCCCCCCCCAAAAAAAGACAGCCCCACGCCACCCGGCCTTCCTGGAACTGGAGCCACTCAAACGGGCCAGATCCAACCTGGTGACGAGTCCCGGCAGCGGCCCGCTTCCCCACGACCCTCCCTCCGCCTCGCTTCGGCCTCCTACGGGCAGCGCCTGGGAGCTCCCACAGGTCAAAGCACGCCACCACTTCCTTCCTCCTTCTCTGCTGCCTGGGCTTTGAAATACGGTGTGTGCTCCTACCGCGTTTTGGGCTCTGCTGATGACAGCAGGGCTCTGGCTACCACGCCAAGGAGTCATGGCATTAATTATTCTCTCCTCTGCGAGAAAAGGTGTGAGGGCTGCGCCCTGCAAAGCACATGGAATTGGAGTACAGTCAGCATTTACTCTCCAGGCTGAAAAACGGGATGGGGGTGGGGGGTTCTCATTCAATTCCCCCACTCCTCCTGTGCCTTTTAACTAACTTTGAAATTCCTCTGGCTGCTGCTGGCGCCTCCGTGCTGTTTCCACGGGCTGGAGCCCCACACTGATTAATTTGGTAACCATCGCAGGAATTTCAGAAAATGAGAACTGGAGGAGGAAGCGAGACCTGAAGTAATTAAGATGATTTGTTTCACGCGATTCAGGTAGGCACAAAGGGATACCTGAACACAGAGAGAATATAAGATCAAAGGAAAGGCAGTCCCGAAAGTGGGAGCTCTTCACAAAAGGAAAACAGGCCAGGGGAAGGTGCCCAGATCACTGCCAAATTAAGACACCCCGTATTTTTATCTTCACCCAGAGATAAAACAGAGGTAGGTAAATTTTTTTTCACATTTGCTTTCAGCGGTTAGCTTTCAGAATTTTTTTTAAAAAATTCAAATGTGTCTGCCATTCGTACAAGTTCACAAGATCTCCCTACCCGAAATCATTTGTCAGTGGAAAACAGTGTGCTATTTAAGCCCCAGGAATGCCGCTGCAAAAGTGAAGATTCCTTAGAAAGTGCCTGCTCCTTACAAGCTTGTTAGTGACTCTTGAAAATCCTCTCTGTGATGGGATCTCATGCACACGGGCATCCCACCAGGTCACAGGATGTGGAGGGTGGCTTTGAAGGGGAGAGGGGCAGAGTGCGTGTGCATACCCGCCGCCACCGCCACATTTCAAAAACACGACTTGGTCATTTGCTGCACATTTCTCTTTCCCTGCAATGTTGATCCTCAAAAACCAACCATCTTATTATTTTCCAACACTATTTATGCCTCAGACCTTCTGCTATGTTGCCACCATACACTCATTCATCTGTCTTCCCCATTAACTAACTTTATGGCCCCAGCGACCTACAGCAGTCACAGTCCTTCTCCTGGCTGATATTTCATCCAGAATTCCTCCTGGGCTATGGAAGTTACAGTTGTTTGGGACTATGGTGACACAAGAACAGACCTGGAATTGGAATCCATGACTCTGGCAAAATGAAAACAAGCCTTTTTCATCTTCTTTCTCATCCCCTTTCCATAAGGTGACAAGGTGACATCAAGATTCCTTACACTCCTGAAATATCGTTCTTATCTACTACAGAGACTATAGAGAAGACTTTAAGTGTGAGTAATAGCATTACAGAGTGCTGTTTTGGTTTTTTTTGAAACACAGCCTTGCTCTGTCACCCAGGCTGGAGTGTAATGGCACCATCATGGCTCACTGCAGCCTTGACCTCCTGGGCTCAAGTGATCCTCCCACTTCATCCTCCTAAGTAGCTACAACCATGCACCTACACACTCCTAACTACAACCATGCACCACCACACTCAGCTAATTTTGTTTTTATTTTTTGCAGGGACTGGGTCTCACTATGTTGCCTAGGCTGGTCTCAAACTCCTGGGCTCAAGCAATCCCCTTGCCTGGGCCTCCCAAAGTGCTGGGATTACAGACATTAGCTACCATGCCCCAGCTAGGATGAACATTCTTTTTTTCTTCTAGAGCCTTCAGATGAGAGTGAATATTAAGCTTAGTATTTACAACACACCCAGAAGATCAGTACCTTCCGATAACCCATTCTAAAATGGAGAAGCTACTGGTTGGGGAAGGTAAGTAACTTGCCTTGGGTCACAGAAGGATATCTACCGCCTCTGTGAATAAATAACGTAATTTTCTTCCACACCTGAGACTGTATTTACCTGTGGCTTCAGAGTTGCTGTGGAGACTAAACTGACAAAGCAGTCAAATACCCACTTGGTACTATTTTTATTGAATGAACTTTTGACAGAATTGATTGGCCTGAATGACTGTTGCATTGTCTGAGAGTCCCCTGCAGTTTGATGGGGTTTTTTTTCTTCTAAGAGGTCTCTGCCTGGGTGCTGATCTTACTCCAGGCCTCCTAGAGGCCTGCACACTGCTGTAGGAGGATGGCAGAGGTACTGACCACAATTACAGAAGTAAGCAAAGTAACTTATGCAGTGGCCTCCAACCCCCGATGTGGTCTCATCACTTTGCTCTGAGCAGAGGGTTTGTTACATTCCTTCTCCCTTCAAACATTTTCAGAAATTCAAGCATCTCCAACAATGCTGCCATCCTCCAGAAAAACCCCACAGAGCCCAGGTTAATTCCTCAGCTCCAAAGGACAGGGATATCACAGGACTTTTCCTTGAACCAGCTGTAATGCAGTTTCTTCTTGTGGAGAGAGACAGTGTCTACAAAAGGCTGTCTCTCTGCTCTATCACTACTTCTCAAGCTGCAGCATGCACACAAACTATCTGGGCAGCTGGTTGAAATGTAGATTCTGTTTCAGCAGGACTGGGGGCCTGAGATTCTGCATTTCTAATAGGCTCCCAGGTGACACCTGTGCTGCTGGTCCTGACACTGTGAGCAGCCAGGAATTATTTACATGGATCTCTTTTCCTTGTGAACCCTTTGACGTTGCATTTTGACAAAGAAGTCCTGTAGAGACTAGAAGCTGTGGCCTCACCCCACTGCTATGGGTAGAAGTAGGGCTTTCCTGTGACATGAAGAACTTTCCTAAGTCAATCACCAGGGAAAGAGATCTTGAGACCACCCAGGAAGAAAGTGCCTCACCCACTGCTGAACCAGCACTTCCACAGATGAGGCTTAAGCGGTCTCCTGGCATCAGGAACCCTCCACCTGGCAACATTCCATGAGTCAGACAAGCCGACATATGGGGCCATAAATTGAAGAAACGTAAACTTTGCCTTGTAACTCTACCTGCACGTAGTTCCTTTTGTGGCCAGCCTGGCTCAGCTGTGAATCTAAGGAATTAAAAGAAGGTTCAAGTGTCCCCCAACTTAGAACTGGAGAATTAATAATGAATCAGTACCCCCTGAAGCCAGCTTTGTGGGACCTGCAGAAATTAGAGATTCCAAAGGGAAGATAAATCTTGAGGAATACGAGTTGAATTTTTTTTTTCTTTTTTTATTGTACTTTAAGTTCTGGGGTACATGTGCAGATCCTGCAGGATTGTTGCATAGGTACACACATGCCATGGTGGTTTGCTGTATCCATCCCCTCGTCACCTACATCAGGCATTTCTCCCAATGTTATCCCTCCCCACCCCCCAATGTCCCTCCCCTAGCCCCCCAGCAGACCTCAGTGTGTGGTTCCCCTCCCTGTGTCCATGTGTTCTCATTGTCCAACATCCGCCTATGAGTGAGAACTTGCAGTGTTCAGTTTTCTGTTCTTGTGTCAGTTTGCTGAGAACGATGGTTTCCAGGTTCATCCATGTCCCTGCAAAGGACATGAACTCATCCTTCTTATGGCTGCATAGTATTCCATGGTGTATATGTGCCACATTTTTCATCTTTATGGTCCAGTTGCTCTTCTTACATGGAGACTTCCCTTCCGTTGACAAAAAGGAAGGATCTAAGTTTGCTTATTAAGGAAGAGAGATGTTTCTTGTTCATGATGAGAGCACGAAGCTTTAAAAAAGAGAGAGACTTAAGTTTCAGAAACTTGGTTCCTCAATACTGCTGGTGGACCTCAAGTTGTCAATGTCATGGCTAAAGACTAGGAAAAGGGAACTCAAGAAAGGATGG